TAAGAAATCTCAAAAACCACCTCATCCTCAACATTTAATACTGAGTTTTTAAAAAATGAATATTCATTAGACCAGTTTGTATCTACTCTGTATACACTAGTTACTATTCTCAGTAGTGGAGATGTGGCAGAGAACAAAGTCCCTGCCCTCCCTTAGTGTTCAGGGAGGAGATGCAGATTCATTACAGAAAGTGGGAAGGAGTAGCTGCTATGACAAAAATATTGTGATGGCAGAGCCAGGGTTATTTTACATAGGCAGAAGGTGAGGTTTTACTGTCATGACACTGGAGCAGAGCCCCGGCAGAGAAAGGTATTTGGCCATTCGAGTGACTGGGAGCAGAGAGCTCCTGGCAGAGGAATGGCAAGTAGGCCTGAGGTGGGAGCATGCCTGGCCCCTCTAGAGAGAACGTGTGACAGGACTTGCCTGCAGGCTCCCTAATGTCTTTCTAACATGGATACTTTTGGCAGTGGGAGAAGCCTGGGGACCTTACTCAAGATAAAGATTCCAAATACATAAGGTAAAATACCTAAAATTCAAAGGAAACTGGGCCAGGCATGGTGGCTCACACCTGTAATCCTAGTACGCTGGGAGGCCTGAGGGGAGCGGATCACCTGAGGTCAGGAGTTCAAGACCAGCCTGGCCAACGTGGAGAAACCCCATCTCTACTAAAAATACAAAATTAGCCAGGCATGGTGGCATGTGCCTATAATCCCAACTACTAGGGTGACTGAGGCAGGAGAATCTCTTTAACCTGGGAGATGGAGGTTGCGGTGAGCTGAGATCGCACCATTGTACTCCAGCCTGGGCAACAAGAGCGAAACTCCGTCAAAAAAAAAAAAAAAAATTCAAACAATACTATGCCTAATTTTGTCCCTCAGGTTAAGATCTATCACAGTGTATGCTAAGAATCACAAGGTAACTTCTAGGGGATCTCTAAGAAGCCAGTTTTTGCCAAATTTTTGGATAAATAATGATCTCACCAGGGATTTTTTCAACACAGATCATCAACAAACCTCACCCTATCCCCATGTGAAAGCTACTCTCCTAGAGCATAAATCTAGGCTTGCTCCTCACTACCCAGCAAAAGCCCAAGGTGATTTTGGTAGAATGTCTCTTTCTCTCGTTGAGGAATATTTAAACTGCAAATTCCATGATTAGTGTTCTGGTAAGGGAAGCCAGAGAAAGGAATTGGTTCATTTGAGAAGCTACTATTACAAAATTTTGCTTGCCTTCTAATGAAATTTTAGGCTATTCAAACAGAATAAAAGAGACTAAACATAGGTAAATGTTGGGTGATGATTTTACATAAGTCTTTCTGGATGCACAGTTCTACAGCTTCTTAAATGTCTCCCAGCTGATTCTGACCTAACACGTTTTCTACTGCTCAACACAAAGCTGAGTGAGTGTCCAGTACATGGGAATTTATGAGTTTGTGGGACAACATAAAATTATAACAGTCATTTTGGAGCTGACAGACAGGATTGCTTGTTAACTTTTACTTCCCCTAAACTGAGATATAAAAAGAATCTACCGTAGTATCACTATTTCATAGAAGAAAAGGCATTTTAATACCAAAACACTAGGAAGAGACATAATTTCAGACAATAGATTTTATAAAAAACTTGGGCACAGTTGCTATGATTTGAATGCATAAACATCTCATAAGACAACAGTGCAGATCTTAAGCACCTACTCTGTTGTCCTGTCACGTGGGAACCTTGAAGGAAAAAGGCAGAAGTCCTCTGCCAGTGGGTGGGCTATATAGAACCAGGCAGTGATGGCTTGTCTCTATAGCCCTTTACTGCTTTCTAAGGTTAATCGCTTAATTAGGAACTCTCCAGTGTTGGTCTAATTTTCTGTCTTGTATTTTTGGTAGCAACGGGGTTTTGCTGTGTTGCCCAGGCTGGTATCCTTCCACGTTGGCCCCCCAAAGTGTTGGGATTACAGGCATGAGCCAGCACTCCTGGATCCAGTGTTATTTTCCAAATAAGGAATCTAAGCCTTAGAGAAAGGGAGCAGTTTTCCCAAGGTCACACTAGTTAAGGGAGCCAGGACCCAAATACAGAACTTCAGAGTTCAAACATAGTATCACTTTTATGTCCTGTGACCATGGACCACTTCCCCTGGCAGAAAAAAAGGCCCCTCTGTTCTGATGGTGGAGGGCTGCAAAGCTAGCCACTGCAGGGTGAGTTGGGGGCGACAGCCTTAACGAATCATTGCTGAAAATTACCAGTACTATTGCAGCTAAGCCTTAGAACCTGGCTGCAAAGGTGGCTACTAATTTGTATTAGGAGCACAGGGAAGCTCAAGGGCCTCCCTTCTCCCAGTAAAACCAGCTGCAACTCCCAAATGCCTGAAATCCTATCAGCTAGTTCTTTCTCACTTCTTAAAATCCAAGTATCCTTGTCAGGAAACACTAAATCCTTATCTACTTATCCTTCCGTGTAAGCACCTTTACCTCATTTCCAAGCATTTACTGAGCACCTCCTGTATATGTGGTATTGCACTGGCTAGGGTAGAGCAGTGGTTTTCAAACTTTTGGCTTGCATACCTTCTCAAAGAATTTTTAAAATATGACAGCTAAAATTCTCATAAATTTAAATCGCTGCAAAGGGTATTTTTCGTATACTGTAAACATGGACATTTGAAAAGAAATTTTCTCGTTTAAATGTATCCAATGAAATCTAAATACTAAACAGATTTGATACATCTATTTAAAATGTACAAACAAGCTCTTTTTTTAACAATTGGAAAATTTACTTTTTCTCCTCATTTCTCTTTCACTTGTCCCATAAACTTTCACCTTAACACATTTCTATTCTTAAATATTTTTGAATTCAACAAAAATGTATATAAATTTCAATTTTGAAAAATTTTCTTTTGATTTTTATAAACGCGCTCAATGGTAGATTCTACAAGATTGGATAATTAGCCCATTTAATATACAATTGATCCAACTGACAAATGCATTACAAATTCTAATAACTGTTAAGGAGAAGGTAAAATTTTATTGGAAAAGCATCTTGTGATGGGCTGGCTGGATTTTTCCCCACTAACTAGTTCAAGTATCCTCAGATGAATATTACTTATTGCTGAAATGAAACACAGTTCAGTATCCTATTTTTATATATTTCTAGATATACATTTCTGGAAAATGTTTACTTAAAAAAATGGAAATTGAAGGGATTTTGTTATAGCAACATCATTCAGTCCTCTGAACTCTGATATATACCAACAGTACATAGTGTAATCTCATCAATTTGTTTTAATAAACATTTTATTTTTGAATAGTGTTAGATTTACAGAAGGGTTACAAAGATAGTACAGAGTGTTCCTGAACATCCCTCACCCAGTGTCCCCATAATTATCACCTCACATAACCGTGGTACACTGGTCCATTACTGTTAACTCCACCAGTCTGTTTTCTGATCAGCTGTTAACTCAATTAGGTATTTCTTCAGTTTTGTTGAAGCACTGCATTAAAAACACCTGACTTGTGAAAGTCTGTTATGCAGCCTTTCCTATTCTTGGCTCCTGAAAAGTATATCAAAAAGGGCTTCACTAAGATTTACCATGTAATTGTTATACTTGTTTCTCTTTCACTCTTCAAATGTTAAACACTCAAAGTATTAGGAAAACCAAAACAGTGATAACTGCATCTTTGCCAGTACCATATTTCTAGATAAAATGCTTTTTCTACTGTTTATAGTATAACCTTTAGCTCATTAAATTTATGAAAAATGCTTGCCATATAACATAATTGCTAAAGCAGCCCTTGTTGTTAAAGCCGTTAGCAAAATTAGACGTTACTTTTCATCGTAAGTAAAAAGCGTTAATATGTTTATGTTAATGAATTTGAATCCTAAATAGGCAAATGGATAGGACACAGGACTTGCCCTGAGTTTATTCAGATATATCCTTCAGGAAGGCACGGCCATCTGTAATATTTCTCACCCCTTCTTTCTGGATTTCCTCCCACTAGACCCTCCCTCAGGAGTGAAGTACTTTTTATTTGGGGAAGGGAAATGAAAACCAACATTGTTGTCACTGTCCTTACTCTACAATTTATTTGAATGCAGAAAATCTCCAAATTAGCCAAAGTACCCATTTCTAATACAGGCTTTGTCCTTAATAGAAATATGCCAGAAACATGCATCCCTACTCCCACAGTGGTGTGCCATATTAGTATTTACTCTGGGAAGTAGGAGGAGGCTAGTTAGGGAAGGAGCTCTGGTGTGGAACCTTGGCCACAGGTATCGATCCTTCTTAGGGCAGATCAGTTGTAGGGAAATGTTAGCAAGTAGGGGATTGGAAAGATGGTGTCTTAAACTCTTGTTGTCATGTACTTCTCTCAGAAGATCTTTGGGAACTCCAGGGCATACATATTTCAGCCTTAATGACACTGAGAAAGAAGCTGAAGAGCAGGCCAAGAACCATACTTACTACCGGGGTCAGGGGGTCCCCAGGGTGAGGATGGTTCACTACAGTCACCACATGCATCTTTCTCTAAGGCTGGCTTCAATGAAGGAGGGTGGAAGTGAGCCTTACCTTCTGGAGTCGAGAAGGTTGGAGGGTATGGTCCTTAGTCTGCTTTTTGAGAACCAGCGACCTGAGCAGCTTTGCTTAAGCTCGAATACTATTACAGACATCTAGAAAGGAAAGACACTTGAAGATCCTTAAGAGACATTTACTTGGTCTGAATTTATGAAAATGGTTCTATTCTAAATGATCACTGTAAAGTGAAGTTTTACCTTTAGGTAGCTGTTTTTGTTTTTTGTTTGTTTTAGATCAAAAAGTGATTAAAATATAATTTAACATACTCCATAGAACTCTTGTACCTTAAAATGAGTCTGAGCCTCCCACTTGGAGAAATGCTGAGAACTGGTTGTGGTTTAGTTTCCTTTTCCCCTCGGGCATTATGGGCAAGGCTTGGGAGCTGCCTCTCTGTTAGGATGCCTGTGCCTGTGTGGCCCACATTCTGACTCTTCTGTCTGTGCAAGAAGAAGCAGGGTGAAGTCAGTAAGGCAGCCAGCGCTGACAGCACGACTGAGGGCACGCCTGCCGACGGCTTCACAGTCCTCTCCACCAAGAGCCTCTTCCTCGGCCAGAAGGTAGGCAGATGCGCAGCCTCAGTGTACGGGAGGGCCCCCGGGACAGATGGGCACAGGCCATTTCCACTGGAAGGCTGGGGGGTCTCGGGGGCCACTCTCAGCCTCGCGGGTAGAGAGAGTGGGACATGAGCTTTGGGAGTGGCCTCAGGGAGGGCCAAGTGCTGAGAAGGCCACAATGCTGGGGGGAGGGGGACCCTGGCAGCTGGGGAAGGAAGAAAGTAGTAAAAAAGAAGAGGGCAGGAGGCTTCTGTGGGAGATGGGGACCCTTGGTTAGTCTGGAGGAGGAGCTGCATCTGTGGGATAAACTGGTCAGCAGATAGCACCGGCCAGGAAAGTAGGCAGAAGTCAAGCCCTGGTGGCGGGAAGTGAACAATCTAGCCGGCAGCCTGCTTGTTCTGGGGGCACTAAAGGTAGAGCCTCAGGTCTGACCCAGGCCTGTACAGGGGATTGTTTTGACAGTACTGATGGTTGCATCGGGTTTCTTCACTGAACCACCAGATGACTCTTCCAGCTAATTGTTTGTTTTAACCATGGGCAATGTATTTTCAGCCGCCCCAGTGATGCAACTTTGCCAGGACGCCATGGTTTTGTAAAAAGATGATTCACTTTTAATGAAAATAAAAATGATGCAAAGGCTTTTAAGAACTGAGAATGAGAGTTAACTAATATTTCTTGACACCAAAAAAGGGGTGGGAAGAAAGAATTAAGCTCTTCTTAATTTTTTAATCCTATACTTAAAAAGTTAAAGGAATGAATTTGACTTTCCAAGTTAATCTGTGTTTAGTTTGAATGTGGTAACAAACTTGGATCTGAAGCTGCATCATTTTTAAACCCTCACTGTCAATTTCTTTTGCATCACAGTGACACGGTTCCCTCGCTCACGTCATTGCAAGTTCTCCTCCTACCCCTTTCCCTCTTTCTGTCACTAATTGCACTCTCTCTCATGATGCAATTCCTGTGGTGAACTCTGTGTTCCAGAAAATAACCATTACTGTTTACATTTTTAACCATTCTCTGTATTTCGTATGCATTTTTCAAAAGAAAAAGTAGCACTAGTTGTCATCTTAAGGTCTGGGACTTTTAAAGTTTTTGTTTAAAATATTTTTTGTTCCTTTAAAAAACTTCAACTCAGCAGTGAAGGCAACTGCCTGGGTCTACTTTCACCCCTGTAACATTTCCCTTGGGTAATGTATTGAAAGTTAACGTGACCCATCATCCACATTGTTTCTGTTTGAACTATAGAGCAGTTCAGCCCCTGGGGTCACCTTCTCCCTCTTCCCACTCTGCCCTTAGGCACTCCCACCCTGGCCTCTCCCATCCCTGTGTTCTTGCTACCTCCTGCCAGCCACTCCAAAGGCAGCCTCAGATCAGAATTCCTCACACCTCACTTGCTGGATGAACTAAAATATTTCCAAAGTAGCAGCAAACATGGCTGTAAAAATGTCCATGCACAGATGCAGATGCCCTTCTTGTTGCTCTGATCTTCTGAAAGAAATGGGATCACAGCCACCTCTGGGCTCTGCGAGCCCTGGAAGGGAGGGGGCAAAGGCCACAGACATCTTGCTGGCTTCTCCCAAGAGCCAGGAACATGTCAGCTCTCAGCAATTCTTCTTTTCCTTTTCAGATAGATCTGGTCTCAGGGCCAGGTGTCACATGAATAAAAGCAAAATATAGTAAAGTAAAATTTTGGCTAATAATGACTGATTCCTACTCAGAGTTGGTAGGGTGAGGATACAAGAAGGCACAGAAGATTATTGATACTCTATAATAAATTAGAAACATATCATTTAATGTTACTTAAGAAATGGAGAATGAAAGTGAGCCTAACAGTGAAACTCATGTGCTTATCTTGACTTCTGGAAGGAAAATTTGAAAGGAACGGTTAAGACGGAACCCAGTATAAAATGGTCAGCCATAACAGGAAGGGCTGAATGTAGACCCAGCCTAGCCTTATTTCCCATATTACACACTTCTTAGTGGTGAAAAGAAAACACCAAGCTACCAAGAAACTGCCCTTCCTGTTTAATGTGCTTGCAACTTTATGACCCAAGATACGCATATCCAGGAAGAGATACCTGAAAATTAGTGTGGCAGACACTATTTAGCAGAAGAAACTCCATGTTCCCAAAATAAAGCAGCATCTTAAGTCAACCTAAGCATCAGTGATACAAACTAGGGTTCCAGCTGCCCTTCTGGAACCCTACACTCCTGCCGCATGAGATGGAGTGAGCGTTGATATATTAGAGCATTATTTTGAAGCATTACTTTCTGGCTTTTTATTGGCTATTACTGTCAGGTGAAAATCATGGCATATAGTGAAAAAAGGGCAAGAATCATGAAACTGATATACAGTTTTTACATAAAGCACATTTAAAATGTTATTGACATTAATTTTGACTTGGATTTTAGGAAATGTTTCACAAGAAGTACTTTAGAATGGTGTCTATATGGTACCCTGTGTTCTATGAATCTCCTTTTTCCATCTGTGACATTGAAACCAGTGCTTGAATATTGCAAGCAGACTGGGGTGGAGAAAGGTGATACTGTGCATGCTACAGCCCTGTAAGTCATGGTTGCTAAGCTACTCACAGGAGGCATGGCCCAGGCTTAGGAGCCTGATAATTGTTGTTAATGATGTATTTCAAATACTGAAGTCTCACGAGTAATCCCAGTCATTACTCTCTGATTTTGCCCAGTGTTCACACACATTGTTGAAATGTTTTAAAAAGAAATCAGTGCTGTGAATCTGAGTCAACTAAATGCTTTTGCTCTGTGACCCAGCCAAGATTTGCAGCCTCTTTTTAAGAGGTTTTAAAATTTTCAGCAAAACATTTCTAATGTGTCCAATGTGTCAGTGGTAGTAAATGATTTAAGTTTCCTTGGTAGAATCAGTATTATTTGAAGGAGTTGGGAAGGCAGTCTGAGGGTGTGATGAGTCTTCTTACCTCCCAAATGATCAAGATCACAACCCCAGCTCACAGGCCATTCAAGGTGGCATAACGTACCATGGGTTTTCTCTCTTTGATCCACACACCCTTCTCCTGGGGACTGGAAGAACTGTGAGGAGAAAGGGAGCTCTTGAAGCATCAGTGAAGGAGAAAAACCATTCACCCCTTCCCACCACTGTGGCTGAGGACTGACTTCTGAGACAGTTTAGGAATTTGACAAAGCCATGAATGAATGGCTCAGCTATAGGCCATCTGGCCATCCAGCAGTGTCTATCCATGTCCTTATCTTTGTGGGGCTCTTTATAGCTGGACACACTAGATTTTGCTGCCAGTCCCAAGGCCTCTGGAGAAATCCAGGCTGGGCATGCATGCGTGCAGGGAGAGCCATACAGCACAGCTGCGAGGGCAGGAGCCAGCCTTGTAGTGTGCCCCAGGGAAGACACAGCTCCAGCTCTCAGGAGGAGTCTGGGAAGGGTCCTGTGGAGAGCATTGCCCTTCCCATTCCCCTCGTTGAAGTGAACTTTGGGGACAGGAAAATAACTGTATTTTAGGTGGCCAGCACAGGGAAATGAGACCAGCCAGACTTTCTTCCTTGTTACGAGAGAATGAGAGACACCAAAATCTAACAGTTACAGGTTAGACTCAACATACCACTCAGGCACTTTTTTTTTTTTTTTTAAAAGAACCAAAAAGGAATGTATTATTTCCTGTAGCCAAGTAGGTCAGGTCAGGCAGTCTACATGTCCATCCAGGCACTCCTTGCCTGTCATCATCGACAGACCACCTCCTGCCCTGCCCTAAATGGTAGGGGCCCCCTCTTATCCAGGCAAGGGCACCTTGGCTCTGGGCTGCCTCAGATCCAAGCTAGGCTCAGGGCTCAATTTCTGAGCTTTGGCATTTCCATTAACCTTGCCTTAAAGGAAAGCAGTGAGGGGCAATAATTTCATCTGAGTTACGTCTGAGGATGTTTGATACTCAGTTCTAACTCTACATGCCCAGGGGAAGCCCAGCACTGGCTTAGGCATTGTGCAGCATTCAGGGTTAGGAAGCCACACCAGATCTTGCCTTCAAAGAGACTTACTCTGATTTGCGCACACCATGAGTAAGGAATAAGGGTTCCCACGGACCTCCCCAACACAAGGAAGACTCTGGTACTGCTGGTCTCAGAAACTGACCCAGCAGAGCCAATGAGATTAGGATCATCGGATCCCAGTGCTTGAAGGGATCTCAGAGTTTCCTTGGCTAAGACCCTTTCTGCCAACTGCATAGCCACGTGGGACCCCCTCCTGCTTTATAGATGGCAGTGCCCTATGGTTACTGTCTCCAGTGGCTAACAGTCTTCATAGCTGCTTTAAATTCCTCATGTTGTGGTTTAAAACTTAGTTTTCCATATTTCCTGATGATGGTACAAAGAAGCAATCACCTTACCCAAATGCTGAAACCATTAATGATCCTTATATCTCCCAGCAAATCAGACTAATCTTGGGAATTTTTACAGTTCCCAGAAATCTGATGTCCTAACCCACAAGGACCACTTCTCTGCCATGTGCTTCAGATGGATACACATCCCTGTAGCTAAGAAGCCCCATTGGATCTGACCCTAGCTGGTTGGAGGGAACCTTGGGAGGACTGGACCTCTATCTCAGCTCTACCTTGCCTATTCATGTATGACTGGACAGTGGGGTCCTGTCCAGACACGGGTGTACATGGTCCATTTGCACCCTATGCTCATGGGCTTTCTTCTGCACAGTGGAGCTACTGTCGTTGTTCATGGTCATCTTGCTATTGGCTTCTGCCCACTGGCCCACCTGCCAAGTTGATTACCCATTTGTCTTTCCAAAGTACTTGAATTAATTTGTCTTCTCCCCTCCCCTTCTTTTCCCCTGATGCATACATCTCAAGCACATACTTTCTAGTCAGGATTATTTAAAAATACGTATTTGTACACATTTTATAGCAACAAAACTTTTGTGGCTCAGCTCCGTGACCTGAAGACTTCTGCTGAGCCCCAGTGTATAGCAGAGCATAGTTGGAAAATTACAACTCTAGCCTCATCCACAGATGTGGAGAGAGTGAAAGTACTTGATTGGCTGAGAATTCTCAATGCCGAGTTGTAGTGGCTCCCTGAGGTACTGTGGTCTGCGCTTCCAAAAATGGGTGTGCCTCTGGTCAGAAGTGAAGGCAGTGAGTCCAGAGGAAGCTGGGAATTCTCCATGAGTTTGAGTTCTGTCCACAGCTGCTCCCTTGCTTCAGCAAAGCCAAGTTTCCCCCAGAGAATCCCATTCACCTAGGCAGAGTGGATGTTTCTCCCCAGAAGAGAGTCAGACACAGGCCACTACGGGTCTTCCTGGCTAGCTGAATCAAAGCCTGTGAAAATAGCTACTTTTCCAATGAAGCATTTCCAAATATAACACCAGAAGCATCTATACAATTGGAAAAAATTGTGTGAATTTTAAGGATTGAACATGTATTTTAAACAAAAGAATTTATAGATGCCTTAAAAGCATACATATCCACATTACACTGAGTAGATTGAGTCTTTTTCTCCTTTGCCGGCCTTCCTCACCAACCTCCTGCCTCTTCACACTGTGTGGGGTGTGTTTTGGTGGTATGTAGCAGCGAGTCTTGGCTTAATTTGAGTTTTTATAAATAGCATTTGCTTGGAGCCAAATGCAGAACTAAGTAATAGAGTAAACTCCTTTGCCTTGTTCTAAATCCTGGGAGTTCACTTGCCTTACCCTAAGGCCCCCCTCTCTGTGCCTACCCACACCCCTCCTCCCTGGTGGCAGCAGTCCGGCCCTGGCCCCTGTGATGCCTCTTTTCTTTGCCTCTGTCCTGGTGCCAAGGCCCTGAGCTGCTGAGAGCTTTGCTTTGCGAGATCACTCCCATGGGCTTCCTTCAGCTTCAAGGGTGTGGGTGGCCTCTAAATCACTCTATAGTGCTAGGAGCAATAACCCAGAAAGTCCACATGGATAAAACTTGGTCCTCTTCTCTGAGTCTTTAACCAAAAATGAAGTCGACTGCCCTGGCCAGAATTCTTCATTGGCTGTATGACAATACTTAATTCCACAACTGTTTCCTCCCAGAGGATGACTTTTAGTGTAAGCACGCCCGTCTTTGAGAATCTGGCTGCTTCTGGGAATCAAAAATGTGGGTTTATATTTCCGATGCTTCTGGAGTGCCAGGTTTTTTGTTTGGTTTTGTTTTCAACAAAATGTTTGGCCCTAGAAATGCAGTGACTTGCCGCTCTGTTGCCAGGAGCTTCCCTGCCAAGTGTCTGTGCACAGCCCTCTCCTGGGTGAGCTCCTGGACAAAGCCTCATGCCCTCGTCAGCCCTGCAGGCTGCAGCCACTATTCTAGCCGAGGTCATAGTCTTGAGCACCAGCTCTGATTGGGCTACTCAGGCATTGCACTTGTCTGCAGACGTTAGGAATTTATGTCACTGAAGAGTGAGCAGTGTCACTGAAAGAGCATGTGCAAGAGCGAGCTTTCCTGCAGACGCTTATACCTAAAGAAAATCAAGGGGAATAGTAGGACCCAGGACAGCAGTCCTAGGCCCATTACTTCCCCTTACCCCTCTGACAGAATTTCAGATTCAGAATTCCTCGAATACTCAGATGCCAGGATTGCCATTGTAACAGAATAACGGTGGCTGGGGAGACACCCATTCAGTGGCTCTTCAGAAATAACAAATTCATTGGGGTAGATATAAAACTTAAGGAAAATGCTCAATAAATCACCCATTGAGACTCACAGCAACCTGACCAACAAGGTGAAAACCATTTAAAAGATAACATTGTCTTACTGGAGAACTTTCCTCCCCTGGGTTTCACCAGGGAACTTCAGCATTGCATGAGTAATGGGCACGTAAATTAGATGTTACTAAGCAACAGACTATTCTCATTTCTTGCTACCCTGGTCAGGGCAGGGAAGCCAGCCAGCAGTCACAGTGGTGGGGACAGCCTTAAAGACCCATAGTCACTTGGATGACAATGGCAGAACCACTAGGGGTTTGCCCCAGCCAGGTAGGATGTTTGCACCAGGCCAGCACTCAAGGATGAGGACACTCACATACACCAGCCCCCCACACTCAACAATGAGTACTTATTCTAGGTCCTGACAGCTGTCTTACTTTGGCCCCCATGCCACAAGTCCCTTTAAAGGAAAGCTGATTTCCTTGTCCAGTGTGGCTTGTGCTTCCTTTTGCCCCAAGCACCTTCCACAGGCTCTGAACATTCATCCTAGTTTGCTTGCTCCCACATCCCAAGCAGCATTTGAGTCTTATGTTGGAAATGTGTTCATTTGAGCCAGCAACTCCCTGCTTCCCTTTGTGCCTCATGCACTTGGAGTGTCCACTGCCCTTTACCTGTATCCCAAGGCTCCTTCTCTGAGACTTCCCAGCTCTCCTGTTATTTCCCACCTCATGCTTTTCTTTGCAGCTGAACCTTATTCACAGTGAAATCAGTAATTTAGCCGGCTTTGAGGTGGAGGCCATAATCAATCCTACCAATGCTGACATTGACCTTAAAGATGACCTAGGTAATTGGGGACGGGGTTCGGCTCCACCAGCTGTCAGATGAAAAGTTATGGAACCCAGAATTTAGGCGTTTCATCTTCCCAGACTTTACAATGGTGAAGCCAAATTTCCAAATCCAAGATTGATATTTGAGTGTAGACACTGAACATCGACTTACTCCAGGCCCTTCCAAGTGTAAATGGTCTGATGTTTCATTAAGTGTGATTGGCTACTGTCTCCTCAATTGCAAACATACTGTCGTCTAAATTCTCTTCCATAATGATCAAACTGACTGCTGGTTACTTGGGGAGGGATTTTTAAACATGTGTTGTTTTTTTGTTTTTGTTTTTGTTTTGTTTTTATTTTAGAACTGAAAAATCTCAGGTAACTACAAAATGATAGTTTCTCCATTTAAACCTTAATTAGAAATGACAAAGCTTGAAAGAGAACACAAGTCACATCACTATGGTATGCCTTTAGTCCACAACTTACTACCGTCACTTCAACTTATTTTTAGAACTGAAAACAGTATATGACTGAATGCCACCTTCATGAATTATTTGGCTAGAGAATGGTATTAAACAGAAGGGCAGTATCTCTAAGCAAGTTCTTATGGAAAACTGCCCCAGAACCATGGTGTCTCCCTGCTCAAGATGGCAGATGGTTCAGGGTAGGCTGAGAGGTACCCCTCAAGTGTCCTGCCTCCGTGGCTTTATTTTTGCATATGAGGCACTGTCAGCTCAATGGCACAACGAAGGCTCCTCTGCTGCTCTTCAGTGTAGAGGCTTGCCAGGGAAATAAGCTGCACAGATGCAGCCTCCTTCCTAATCCTCAACTGCAGTCTATTTTGAATGCCTTTAGCTCTCAGCTTCTGCTGCTTTTGTCAGACGGCAGACTTCCTTACTGGGAGATACACTCATTCCATGAGCCCAGGCCTCACCCACACAAACTAGGTGCAACAGTGGGCTGAAAACATCAGGCCTGGACTCAAAGAGTGTCCAACTTGAACTTGTTTTCCAACTGCCTTATATAGATACTTTAAAAAAAAAAAAAAAAAAAAAGGCCACAAGCTAGAAAAATCAAGGATTCTATCCAAAGCACATTTTATACTAAGATACAAAGGCCAGGTGCAGTGACTGACACCTGTAACTCCAGCACTTTGGGAGGCTGAGGCAGGAGGATTGAGTGAGGCCAGGAGTTGGAGCCCAACCTAGGCAAGATAGTGAGACCTCATCTCTACAAAAAATAAAAAAAACTTAGCTGGGCTTGGTGACATATGCCTGTAGTCTCAGCTACTTGGGAGGCTGAGGCAGGAGAATTGCTTAAGCCCAGGAGTTTGAAGCTGCAGTGAGCTATGATTGTATCACTGTACTGCAGCCTAGGCAACAGCAAGACTCTGTCTGTAAGAGAAAAAAAAATTAAACCATAAAAATAAGATAGGCTAGAGTAAGAAATGGGCCTGGAAAAAATACTGATAGAGATCAGCCCATATGTGGAGAGGGGGAAATAAAGGTAATTCTCTATGTGTATCAATACTGTTTTCTGGGTTTTCAAGAGAAATCCCTTGAAGGTAGACAAAATGGTAAATGTTACAAGAATAAAAAATCAAAGGCTGCAAGTTGACTGCTGCAGACAGAATGGAGAAACTTGTTGTTTTGGTTGGCCTGACGGTCCACTTTTTTTTTTTTAAAGCAGATGCCATGTTTTAGTAGCCTTCTCAGTGGGATGCCAGTTCTGTAGGCTTTTGCGAAGTGAAACGGGGCATTCGTTTTATTTCTTTTAACCTTTGGAAATGATCTCATGTGTGTTTCTCTTTTTTTGGACTTGTCATTCAAATGTTTAATTTAAACATGTCACATTTGATATTCCTCCTCCTCCTGTCCTCACCCCCATCCACATGTGCGCACACTGCGTGGACTGATTGCCCCTTGGGCTCATATGTTGGAATCGACCAGGTAGGCCAGCCCTGCCATTGGGGCATTAGTAAATGTGCCTGTGCGTGGGTCTCGGTCCAACACAGTTGATATACATTTGTTTACCTGTTATAGTTGCAAGTTGTACAGGCTGACATTGCCTCGATCGACAGTGATGCTGTCGTTCACCCGACAAACACTGACTTCTACATCGGTGGTGAAGTAGGTAATGCCTAGCCGGGTGCTGCCGAGTGTGTGTGTGCATGGTCAGTCGGCCGCCGCAGACAGCTTGATCCTTTGACAGCTATGCAAGGCTGCATTCATTTCACACTTCCAGCTGTCCTGACCTTCCCAAGGTCTCCTGTCCCTGGGTCGTGAACCTAGAAATAAAGCTAGCTGTCAGTCAGGATGTGATGCGTCACAAATGGGCATTTCTGGTTTGAAAACTGGTTCAGCAGGATCATTTCTTCACCTGCCCCACAAGGCACAGCTTTGTTGAAGACTGGGTTCACAGATGATTTCAGCTGCAGGAACAATACAGTCACAGGGACTGAGTGGCATCCAAGACCACCTCTTTGCACTCTGAAGAGCAGACAAACACAAATGGCTGTGCATAGATCATCCCCCAACCTCGCCAATCTGTTTCCATGTCAGAAGCACACTGGTTTCTGAAAATGCCCTTAAAGCCTCAGGTGCACAAGGAGGACCCTTTCTAAGTGCTTGCCCACACTCAGGGTTCTCAGACCTCACATGCATGAAAATCATGTCAATCTGACATGGTATTCTTAGACTACTCATGAGAAACATAATCCTAGACCCAGAAAGCACCTTCCTTTTCCCTGGCAGCTGACAAGGCATTGTTGGTTGATTCCTGGTGTGCTCAACAGCTGAGGGTGGCTGAGACAGAGGGCACTTGAGATGCCACATCCCGAGGTTGAAGATTCCTGGCAGGAGCATCAGATAGTGCCCTGCTTTCAGAGCACACTGAGGGGCCTGTCTGAGGAGGAGACACCCATGTGTGATAGGAAAAAAGCACAGCTTTGGAACTAGGTGGAAGGAATTGGAATCCTAGCCTCACTATTTACTGATCATGGGGCCTGGGCAAGTCGTTCAACTCCTCAGTGTTTCAGGTTCCCTATCTATAAGGTAATGGTAATGATGGGAATTACATTAAATGGGAGCAAGGCACCTTGTTTTGTAAGGCCTGGCTCATGATTGGTGCCTGCTGTAAGGTATCACTTGTGTGTATATGGGATTTTTATAGATGTGCTGGTCCTGAGAGCAGCATTTTGAGTCTAGATTCAAATACCAGCTCCGAAAGAGCATGGTTACATTTCTGGTCAGCACACAATTAAGTCATCTGGCAGGATGAGGAGATCAGGATTTCCACAAGAGTCCCAGATACTAGATGTGCAGTAGCTTACAATCTCTGGCTTCCCAGCCATGCTTGGCATCACTAGCAAAGACTGCCATTCAGTCTTCCCCAGCCACTGCAATTTGGACTAATCACTCTCCTGGGCATTTTGGATTTTGGACATGGATGGAAAGAAACTAGATGGAAAGTCAGGATTTGCCAAGTCTGCCAGGCCAAAATGAAATCAGGCTATAGGCAATTAAACGCCCCTTTCTCAAGACTTTGGGGGAGTTAAAGGGCTCCGAAGTCAGACAGCTTAAGGGAAAGATGCTTCCTTTTTTAACCAAGTGAAAATTTAATGGGAGGGAAGTACTTATTCAGAGAAAAATGAGAATAGCTAAGGGCTTGTCTTTGTCATATCTGGGAATGACTAAGGCCTGGGTTCATCCTGCCATCCAGGACATTTGGCAAAATGGGAATTATGAAATTTCCTGGGCAAAAGTATCTTACTAAATCCAGGGAGAGGAGAAAGTCGGCCTGCCTGCTGCAGCCTGAGGAAGGCCATGCCTAGCAGGATTAGCCATGCCAGGAGGCAGAGTTGCAGCTTTGAGACAAGGCTGAAGCTATGAGGGAGTAGCAGGCAGAGCAAACTCTGCCACCCAGAAGAGCCCAGTCATTCCCGAACTGACTGGAACGGGAGTACTCTTTGGAGTAAGGACAGTGTTAATGCTTTTCCTCTATGACGTGTTCGCCTACAACCCACGGATAGCCACAGGGTGGGGATTATTAGCTTCCAAGCCACAGGAGCAACCTGGACCCAAAAGCTTGCCCAGGACCCTGGCACACATCACTCACTGACATTGTCCCAGCTGCAAAAATCCTCAGCAGGTTCAGATATCCCAGCTGGCTAAGGCAGAAAGACTGCCAGGTCAGAACCCAGTCTTCCAAAGCCCCCCAGGGCTTTTTCTGCCCAGTGGACCAGCCCAAACCAGTACTGACCCCAGATATCTTTTGCGATCCCAGTGATAAACCAGATTCCTACACGGCTTCAATTGGTTCCAGCTCTCACTTTGATGTGTGAGAGGAGAAAAGAGGAAGCTAGTAATAACTCCCATTTCTCATATTTGGTGTGAATTCCTGAGACTGCTGGAAGAAGGAATCCGAGTGCAGGAATGCTTAGCCCCAGTGATTAACTTTTACCCATCAAAAGTTCTTTCTAACAGTGAAATAGACCACAGGCTTAGCCTGACATTTGTCCAAGCCTAAATTTTCGCTTAGGCTGTTTTGAACACTGATACTTATGCCTGCTTTCTAAGCATGAAATAATGTTCTTGTTCTCATGGGAGTAACACATGTTTATGCTTGGGGGCAAATAAGCCAATTGCTTTATGATTAACCCTGAAGTTAAGCCTAAAAAGAAAGTCTTACAATAAGAGTGTTGACAATATGGTTGAAAATGGGCCTGTTTCTTGTTAAAAAGTACACGTGTGTCTACATGAACATGTGCATACATATGTGTGTGTAGGAGTCAAGTCCTGACTGGGTTGATTGCCTGCAATCTAGGGCTCAGTTTTTAAGTTTGGGAAATGCATTTAAGTGTATTTTTAACTTGCAATTTTCACTTTTAATTAAAGCAATATTAATAAGTAAAAATTTTAAAGTAAACACTCTTCCTAAGATAAAACACCTTTAATTATAAATCAGCCCATTTTCTTAAATATTTTAGAAAGGAGTTGGTAATGAAGATAAAGTAAAAACATTATTTTACCTTTCAGATTTCTCAGTTCTCACCAAATAGTTAATTTGGTAAATAATGAGAACCCTAACTAGTCTGGCCTCCGGTGTTTTCATTGCCCTGCCTCAAGCCAGGGAATGGGTTTAAAAGCAAAGGCTAGACTGGGCCCCAGGGGCAGCAGTGTGTGGAATCCAGCTGTTTCATGCTCCAGATTCCCTTTTTCTCAGCTGCAGGAATAGTTTAGGTGAACTTGTATTGGGATCTCACTCACCTGGGTTGCATCCACTTTGTGATGGTGGAGTTGGGCTCTAAGCCCCTAGCTTGCTTCCTCCAGTGTATGGTCCATTCAGCTGCCATCTCTGATGCTGACTTAACTAGAAACATGCAGCAGCAAAAGGTGTGACATTCTGACTCTGCCATTTAAAGCCTGTGCTGCTTTTCAGGACAGGTAAAGGCAGGCAGGAGGGCAGTCTGAGATCATGAAGAGTGACATAAAATCCCACCTCAAGGGTGCTAAGTTTGTACCTCTCCCAAAGCCCTGCCCTCTCAGTCACAACTGAGTGCTCCTCTGGGCGATGGTGTCTGGTCATGTTCATCTGCACACCCCAGGTTTCCTACGTGGGTGGGTACAGGCCCAGTCCTAGCCATTAGCCCTTGTTCTTATTTGGGAACCCCCAGGCTGTTGATTTTTCCTCCAAGACACCTCCTGGGGTTAGTTTACCCCTGCAGAACAAACATCAAAAGGAGGCAAGTTTCACTAAGATAATTAACCCTACTCATCGCAGGGTGACTCCAAAGAGAATTTGGGCTGGTGCATTCCAGTACTGACTGTCCCGTACCAGAATTGTACCAGGCGCACCTGGAATTTTCTGAGACAAATGGTGAATCTTAAGGGGAGTATTTTGTCCTCTTATGAGGAAAAGTACTTTAAAATGTGCAAAACTGAGGAATCAGAGCTTAAGGAAGACTCAGACCCATTTTGGCCAAACTTGAAAGGCTGATACTGTTGCTAACTTTGATTGCCACATGCTATTCCACATGAGCATCAACCCAGAGTTCTCATGGGTGTTGGTGATCTTGTTTGGGAACTTGGTTTTCATAGCAGGAATTGATTACTTCGCAAGTGCCCTAATTCAAGAAAACACATTGCCCAACCTCCATTGGCTTTTATAAAAAATCTGGTCCTAAGCACTTAGACATCCTCGTTTCCAAGCTTTTTATAGAATACAGATTAATCTTTAAGCTCTGCTTCTGATGTTGCCCTCCTTTACTGAAAATTATTCTGAATCCTTAGTGTAATTAAGAAAATACTGTCTAAGGCCATTTTTATTTTGTATTTGCATATGACACCAAAGCTGCAAAATAGGAACTAAGCCTGGTAATAATGCTGGTCCAAAGGTGGCCAAGTATGAACACTTCTTTTAGGCCTGCTGCCAAGAGGAGAGCTGGCTTCTTGATGGGAGCATTGTGTGCTGCTGAAACCTCCCTATTTGAGGGTTCTCCCCAGAGACAGAGAATAAAACCCAACGTGGGCATTAGTCTTGGAAACCAGTACCAGCTGGTATCTCATGCCAATGAAAAGCATCCAGGACAAGCATGCTTGCAAAAAAAACAAATGTCTCCTGCCTCCTTCACATCTCTGGCACATCCATGATGTGAAGAGTGTTTACTTTAAAGTTTTTAACTTTTTAAAGGTCATCCATGACCCTGAGTCAGACCCAAATAAGGGGCAGCAAAGACAGCCAGGTGAAGCAGCAATGCAAGGCTGGTGATGACAAAGCCCTTCTCAATTTCACTTTACTAACTCAGCCAAGACTTAGTTCCTGTTTTGCAGCCTGATGAAATTTAGCTAGTCAGATCATATGAAGTATGTAATCACCTGACATGCTAAGTGTCTCTGTGTGCCAGAGACACAGAATAGCAACCTGACCCCACCCTGTCCTTGTCTAGGAAACACGCTGGAGAAGAAAGGTGGCAAGGAGTTTGTAGAAGCTGTTCTAGAACTCCGGAAAAAGAACGGGCCCTTGGAAGTAGCTGGAGGTGAGTTGGGAAAGCCACTGTGCTTATTTTGTCGTGGCACATGCAATATTAGGAAAACCATTTTGTGAGACAGCTTAGAATTCAGAGGTACGTGGTATTACAGCCACATCTTCAAGATGGAGGCCAAGGACAACCTGTAGCTTTACAACTTAGAGTTTCATCACATGCGTTGTCTGGGAAAATCACCTTTGCATTTTTTTTTATTGCTTAAAAGAGTTCCTATATGTTTGATGTCTAGATCTCAAATTTTAAGGAATTATAGGAGGTGAGTTTGGCACATGTAAGAGCTGAAAGTGAGTGATACTGAGCCATCTGCAAAACTGCTAGTGAGAAATACAAATTAAAAATCTTCAGCCATCTGTGTTTGCAATAGGAAACATATAAATACACATTTCTCATTTGCCAATTATGCCTTCCCTGGTATAACAGGAGGAAAATGACTTGGCATCTGATGTGGAGAGAATTATTGCTAAGACTTGGAGACAGCGTACTTCTTGCTGCTTCAGGCCTGAATTTAGGGATTTTAGGTGGTAATTTGGGATGTGCAGGACAGAGAACCTCCTGAGGACCTGAGAGTTCAATCAGTGGGGAGGCCCGGCTCCCCAACCAGCTGTTTGAGGACAGGCCACCCACTTCCTCACTTTGGGCTCTGGTGTTCTCTTCTTACTACCTGATCCCACTGCCTATCCTGTCTTTCAAATCCTCTGTTGTAAAAATGAATCTGAACTAAAGTTGGACATTGATAATTTCCACATAACGTTCTAATAAGCTCTCTCTTGGGGGGTTCACTAGGCCTTGCCCCTCTATTCCCATTGACTACAAATTACACCCCCTCCAGGCTAGTCTCAGGGTCCAGTAGGGATTCCCTTTGTTGATCTGTGCCTTTAACCTCTGCTTTGCCACTTCTGTTTTGCCTGCAAGGGATATGACATACAGTGCACTAGTTATAAAGTTCTTCCAGGCAGTTCCACCAAAGTCCACATTGTACAAGGGAAGGCATACACAGTGTTAATTACCCAGCCAGGGGCAGCTGACCTTTCCCCAGGCCCTTTAAAACACCTCTTTGACCAGCCTGTGTGTCCTTTTCCCATCGGGGTTCCAGCTTGAGTCCTTCTGGTAACCCTTGGCACTAGAGTCTCCACACCACTGCTGGTGTGGAGGCAGCCTGGTGCTGCCATGTACCAAACTCTGCTGGGGAAACCTCAATCACAGTAGATGCAAACCCATAATCAGCAGGGTCCAAGATATTTTTGCTTGTTTCAGTAACACTTCTGTTCTTGATTTTAAGAGCTATTTTAGAAAATGCTTTAAAATATTTTTAAAAGTATAAAGAGGCAAATAAAACATACTCCTGTTCCACTACCCAAAGATAGTCACTGCTAACTTTCCAGTCCTTTTCTATGCAGTTTAGCAGTGACTTCTCATGGGGACAAACTCTTTGGTTGCATTCAATACCCCTGCCCCATGTCAGGTGTTTATAGGTCAGCCCAGAGTTCTCAAGCCAAGACACAAATTCACACCCTGTGACTCAGCTGTTTCTACTGTACCATCAGACACTACCCAGAGATTACTCCTTCTCCAGTATCTATGACATGACCATAACAACCCATACCCCTTGGACAGATGTGCCTTAAAAAATGGGTTTCAGAAATAACCCTACCAAAAAGTTTGGATGTTTTACTTTAGTGGTGGTGTGGAGATGCATGTGCTCCTGTATAGAAGTATAGTATGCAGCACCCAGTAAACCCAGTGCTCCCACAATCTTTGCAGAGCATCTTATGAAGATATATCCTGGAACATGCTCTGGGAGACATGATACTTCGCAGTCTGTGGCAGACCCTACCCTGGATTTGTGTCCTCAGATCTGGCAAGGGAAAGGCAGGTCTATGGTGGAGATGTGTAGCTGGAAAGAGGCTCCTCTTTTAGGAAAAGAAAATAGTTCCTTCTCAAAAACTAATCTAATTCTGCCACAGATAAACAGGATCAGTTACTCATATGGTAAGCCATCCTCAGCAGGGAGAAGACAAGGGGAGCAGAAATGCTGGTCAGGTTGCTTAGCAGATCATTTAAAGCAATTGATTTCCTCATAGCTTAGTTCTGAATTGGGTCTGGGAGATTGAGAGATACATCATAGTAGAGACAAATATATATCATACTGTTATGCAAGTTGATAATTAGCACACCAGTCGACTTAAGGGGGGTTGGAAACCCAAAACGTTTATTTTGAGGCTGCAAATGTTCTGATATGATCAGTTGAATTAAATGGGTAAGGCTCTGCCTCTGGGAGAACCCTGTATTCTTTCTGAGAGTGGAGACAGGCTTACTATGAACTTGGTAAAAAATTCCTGGTGGTGACACATTATAATGCCAACTTTCCAAGGGTGGGGCTTGGCTTGGCTCCCCTCTTTAAGTGAAAGGACTAAATGATGAGCAGTTCTTGGCTTGAGCTCACATTGGAATCACAGTGCAGCAGACAGCTGTGGGACTCCCCAGACACGGACCATTGGAGGGCCCAGGAAGATGTACCGTGGCAGGGGAATGGGTCTGTGTTTGGCGTCTTGTGCTTTGCAGTGAACCAGAGCTCACCATTTCTATTGCATCCCCCTACCACTAGCTGCTGTCAGCGCAGGCCACGGCCTGCCCGCCAAGTTTGTGATCCACTGTAATAGTCCAGTCTGGGGTGCAGACAAGTGTGAAGAACTTCTGGAAAAGACAGTGAAAAACTGCTTGGCCCTGGCTGATGATAAGAAGCTGAAATCCATTGCATTTCCATCCATCGGCAGCGGCAGGTAGGAGCACATGCTTATTACATATCAGTCATGGGTATGTCTCTCTGTGCACACATGGCCCATAATTGTGGCGTTCTCACTCTGCAAGTCCTGCGGAGGCTAGGAGACCAGAAGCACAACATAGGGAAGAATGAAGACATTAAACAATGGTGAGGGACAATGAGAAAGACCCAATCCCAAGGGTAATATAAAACTTTGGTTTTGATAGCAGATGTCATCACAGAAGGGGACCCCTGTGTGTATTGGGACCACAGAGATGGTACCTCAGAGAGTTAAGTTTTGAAGAGCACAATGACTTAGATGGCTGGAGAGGATCTTGAGGTGTGAATGCAGGAGTACAGATGAACAGCATTCTGTCTCAGAATAAGTCTATAGCTTATTGTCTTTATTATAGTCTGTTGTGGTCTGTCCCACAAACCACAGTATTCTTTGGATAAAGCCCTCTGTTCCTTGCCTTTCTACTCACAAGCATCTTTCATTGAGACACAGTTGTCTCTACCCGACTGTCTCACTGCCCTGGGTGACACTACTGGCCTGCTAATGAGGTAATGGGACCTGGTGGAATGGAATGGGGAATTATGTGAGATTTAAACAGGGCTGGGCCCTACCCCACTTCCTGCCCCAGAAATATCACCAGGTAGACTCACCAAGGTCTTCAGGAGCAACAGAATTGCCCCTAAGACACAGACATACCCAGAGTACCACCACTGGAGAAGTCTAGTTTTTCGACAGCTGATGCAGCTAGGGCTCAGGGTAAGCCCCCCAACACCCCCCTGGTTGTGCACCCCGCAGATGACAGCTAATAACCTATCAGGTTCCTGCCTGTTGGAGCAGCACTGCACTCTGGCTTAGGAGTCAGGCCTGGGGTTGCATCCTGGCTTGGCCACTAACCAGGTGAGTGATGATATGTAAATTAAGCCTCATTCTGAGAAGCTGGCATCATAGTCCCCCCATGCAGTGTCTCAGAATTGCTCTAGAAATTAAGGGAGCTCTTAGAAGGCAAAGTGCTTTCAGAAGTGTGTGCCATGATGCAGATAATGAGGAGCCGTCAGGGCAGAGCCACCTCCAAGATTGTGTCCCACTGCCCATCACTATAGTCCTCCCTACCAAAGTCTAAGTCCAAGGTCTCTGGAAGGCTCGAGGTCTGCATTGGGCACTGAAGCAAAGAGAAACTGGCCTGTAGAGGCTGCAGCTCTTAGCAACTTGGGCACAAAAGGAGCCATAACCTGGGGTTCTGTATTGGCAGGGGGTTGCTTTGGACAGAGTACCTGCCAGTGCTCCTGGGGCTTCCCACCCCAGCTTGTGAGCCTTCTAGGGTCTCTGCTTATCAGCCCTACCCCAGCACCCAAGGAAGGCATGGCTGTGCAGCACCAACTGCCTGTGACCCTGTAGGCTGCCCCTTCCTTCTGGGTAACGATGCCCTGAACTGGATAGAAAGCTGCTCTTTCCAAAGCACTTCCCTTCCAAACTTCTGAGAGGACAGAGAGTGGATTTTGCCATTTTCCGCTTAGGCGGGCCTTGTGATTTTGCCTCCTGCATACTGCCATCACTGAGGTCCCACACCTCAAGTACTGGTGGCAGAACTAGTACAGAGTGAGCTTCCTGGCACTTGCCATTCTGCCTAGCAGAAGTCCTTGTCCACAGGTTGACAAGCACTGCCACCATTCCCCAGGGCTTTCTGTGGCCAAGGCCATGTGCAACTGGCAGGCCCCACCATTACCTGGCTCTGGGGAAAGATCTCCAGTTGCTCCTGAGCAACTGGAGCCTCTAATCAGTGCCCTCTACACCCCCCACAAACCTCCCCAAATCAAGGGCAAAACAGCAGAATGAGCATTTTCCCAGCAATCCCTCCCCAGTCAGTGAGCTACAGGCAAGCTTGCCTCCCCTGGCCTCACAGCTCTGGTCCTGGGGCTCTGTGAGTAAGGTCCCTCAGCTCTCCTGTCCTGTGTGACTTTTGGTTAAATGAATCAACCTCTCTGCCCTGGTCTGCCTTATCAGTAAGTGAGGCTGTAGGGACTGCCCTTCCTCACAGATGGTTCTGAGGTCCAGTTAATTAATGCTTCGGATGCACTTTGATCTGCTCTGATGAAAGGTGCTTCGGAAGAGGGAGGCAATAGGAGACTTTATTGGAGGTAATAATTTCACACCCTTTCATATGGGTATTGGGAAATTTTTAATTGAAGCATAAAAGTAATTCCCATAAAAGAGCATCTGTTATTACAAACTTATTTACATTTTTCATGGAGTAAAGTGGAGGAGTAAAAATAATCAATTGAAAGCCTTAAGGGGGGGAAATGCCGAAAGCAGCACATGTGCACAGCTACCTAGGCCACATCTGCCAGGCAGACCTCACCCACAGAGCTCTGTAAACAGCTGCCCTCTTTCATGAGTAAAAAAATGGGATTACACCAGAGCCAGCCAGTAAATCACAGTGGGTTTTAGGAGGGGAAATAAAACAGCTTGTTTGTTGCATCCAGTGTCTCTGGCATGAAAGTTATGTCAGAATTGAAACAGTATAAATGCAAGCATGTAGGGAAACAGCCATTGGTAAAGGATCACTCTTAGCTGAGGCACAGCCTGTGTGGACGATGACCACAACCACACCTGTGTGATGGCTCCCTCCAGCCTGTCTGCCTTGCTGGGGGCAGGTGAGACCCTGGCATCTGGATATCATGTCCTCAGCCATTCTGGTCATGATAGTTATGGATACCCCACTCCCTCAGCTCTGACATTAGGGGTGACCCCTCTCCAGAGGGGTAATACATAGAGAATACTAGTTTGGGGCTTTGATTAAACTTTCCTTAGATTTATGAGCTTAAAAGGAAAAGCTGATTTATTTTTTTCAAGCTATCTATTTATGGGTATGTGTCGAGCCCCAGGCACTGCTAAACCCTTTATCTGCATTATCTCACAGCAGCCCTACAAGGTGAGCACTATTACTAATTCCTTTCAAGGGCAAAGAAACAAGCATAGAGGGGGTTAAGTAACTCATCTGAGGTCACTCAACTTGCACGTGGTAGAGCCAGAATTTGATCAGAAGCCCTGGGCTTCAGAACTGTTAGGCTCATGGAACCCCGCTTTGGTCAGCCAGACCCCAGCTCCCACCTCCTCTCATCCCACCACAGGGCTGCCCCCTGCCTGTGTACTCTGCGTAAAACACTACCTGGAAACTCCCTGACCAGGTATAGCCATCAGCCTCTCTCCCCTCCTAAGTGTTGGCCTCAGGGGAGAGAGAAAAGGATAGAAACTCAAAGACTTTTGAATGGGGGATAATTTTTCATTTACCCAAACCTGGGGGCCTGGAGTGAGAGGCCACTTTGGGGTGGCAGGGGCACAGCTCAGGGAAGTGGTGGGCCCATCACCATTGATTCTGAATGTTCTCCCTCCTATACCATTGCTGTCAGCTCAGGATCCTGATGGCTTGGTATTTTGCATCAAAGTAGCCTACGGCTGGGGCAACTTCAGACAACCAGGCAATTACTCAAAAATGGTTAAGGCCTAAAAGCAGCCCACAGCACAGTGCGAGGAAACCTAGTCTTAGCAGAAGAGTGTCTGTATCCTGAGTGACAGACATTTTCTCAGCCCTACCCACAAGAATACCAGAATCCACCTCTACTCCTCCCCAGCCACCAAGGGCAAGCTCCCAGTCTATCTGCTCCAGAAAGTCTCCCTGGGCTCCCAAGATACAGCTGTCCCTCTGACTCTGAGGTTCCTCATGAGCTCCTAGCCTGGCCCCAGCACTAGAGGGTGAACTTGCCGAGAGCAGGGGTGCTTGCTGAAGCCCCACGCAAGGAGAAGGCTGAGAGGAGCTGGTATGTGGTCCTTGGTGGACCTAGAGTCTCTGCGTGTCTAGATGGGACCGTGGGACAAGCATCCAATGTGTGTGCCCCCAGCTATCACTAAGCAGGCTGACCCAAGGGGGCATCTTGCACTGGCCCTGGGAAACAGGTCCAGGACTCTTGGGAAAGGCAACGCCTTTTACAGAGACAACTGGAGTGACTTTAGGGGAAGCTCAGATGTCTCTTTAGTCTACTCAAGGTCCCACGTCTATTGTGTAGGAAACACTTCATGCCAGAGACACTTAAGGAACATGCCATAAACACAACCCACAGATCGGGTCAGGGGCTGAAGATAGTGGAAACAATATGCAAAGCACCCATCTCCCAGGTGGGGCTGATGGTGGCCGCAGCACTGGCAGCCTTATCACCACCACCATTATCATCATTGCATAGACCCCCAAAATACCTCATTTCCAGTGGAGAAAACTATGCTTAGAGGGGTTAACATCCCAGCCCAAAGCAGCTGGGATTCAAGCCTGATTCTGACTCTGGAGTGGAAGTCTTTCACCCGTCTTGCTCTGTGGCAGCTGGAGGGCAGAGTGGCTGTCACAGGGGCCAGGCAGAAATGGCTATACAGAGTGGCCGTGGTTATGCAAGTAGCAAGTGAAGAAGCCAAAGATGTGGCACCAGGGGGCATCAGTGCTCTGAAAGTGGTCAGCACTTGCCGGGGAGCCTCTGTGTAGCCCCTGCTGTTGCAGGCCCACAGTCACAGCCAGCAGCTCTCTGGGGGTCTGAGGCCAACATTGTTAGCACAGACTGCAAGGACAACAGCAGTCACCCAGTCAGAGTTATCCCAGGGACGAGGTTGGAGGAGGCAGTTTTCTACTGCATGAGCCTTTTAAAAGACCCTTCAAGGCCACCTCCTTTATAAACAGCTCCTCTTAAGTGAAGACTCTCTGTGCCATACCCTGATGTTTACTGTGCATTTTCTTGTCCCATACTCTGACTCCATTTTGCTGGATGGGGAAACAAGGCACTGAAGTGGGACCACAACTCAAATCCTGTGTGACCCCAGGAAATCCTGAGCTCTTAACCACTCTCTCTACCCTGAAGGGAGTAGGGCTGTCAGTCTAGCCGTGCCTCAGAGGCAGAGCTGGGACTGACCTGCCCCAGCTGCATGTGCCACCACTGCCTGTGTCGGGAGGCTGCAGGGCTGTGTGTGGAGTGCTCTTGCTAGGGCATCCACCTACACATTCCATTTTGCTACAGGCATTCTCTGGCAGCAAGAAATTTTGAGGCCCACCAGAAAATGTTGGGAAAGCCATTACCTCCACCATTCCTTCCTGGCAGCCTGCACAGTCCAGAGCAGTCACAGTCCCATGGCATGGTTTCTTCCTTAGGCTGTGGCTTCCTACGACAGAGGGAGGGATTTGTCAACAGAGGTTTTTCCTGGAAACAGATCCAGATTCATGTTCACCCACCAGCAACCCTGAAATGCTTGCAAGTTCCAGTGGAACTGCCTGCTCTCTCTTTACAGGAGGGTAGGCAGGTGGGGACACTGCAGGTCTAAAACTTGATACTGACCCTTCTCCCACATTTGCAGAGCCTCAACTTCTGGGTCCACCCTGCCAGCTTAGATCATAAAGTCCATGCTGGCTATTTGTAGAACAGCAGTTGTCACAGAGTGGTCACTAGACCTGTTGAATCAAACTCTTCTGTTTTGACAAGCCCTCCAGAATTCTGATGCAGGCTACAGTTTTAGAACTGATGACGTAGAGGAATAGGAAAGAACACTTTCTGAGTGAAAGTCACATACCCTTTTGCAAGGGTCCAAAGCAGAGGCAGGGAAAGCCCCAGGACGAGTCTGTGTCAGAAAGCACTGGTAACAGGTGGGAGTGACTGGCACACTTTTGGTGTTCCATGAAGACCCCTTGGGACCTCCCAGTCGGCATGGCACGGGCATGGGCCAGGCCATGCTGTGCCTGCATCAAACTGCATCTCACCCAGCTTGTGTAGCCAAGTGTTAGAGACAGCTGCCTGGGTAGGCAGCCTGGCTGCAGCTACAGAAGCCCTGCCCTGGGGCTACCTCAGCTAGGCAGACCATCGGGCCGCATGACAGCTGCTATTTGCAGCAGTTCCATAGGCCCTCACCACAGCCCAGCTCCCTGTGCAGATGTGAGGCTGAGACAGGCAGGAGGACACCTCACTGTGGGGAGCTTGGAACTAGAAGAGCATGGTCTTGGGCTTCACATGAGGGAAAGCAACTTCTCACAGCTCCTCTCAGCCCCCATTCATCCAGGTCACATCCACAGACTGACTCTGCCTGCTCCAGAGAAGCCCTTGTAGTTCCCTTGACCCAAGTACAGGCTACAACAGCACCAAGGACCCCAGCCCAAGCTGGAAGCAGCATGAGCTGCTGGAAAGATGCCCCGAAAAATGGAAGACTGAGTTTTTCTCTCCAAGCAATTCCCAACGGAGCTCATTCGAGACAACCTGTTCTCAGTTCTCCTTGACTACTGTGAATATAGTCAAGGCAGCTGTGCCTGAGATTTCACATCTGCAAATGGCACTGGTGCCAGAGGAATGACCTGCCCACTCTCAGCGGAGCCCTTTTTCTTCCTTATCCATGCCACACTCCATCCTGGCCCACCTATTGGTCAAGAATCACCAGGGTCTCCTGGGGAGGAAGCTGTGCAGGTCTAACACCACAGAGATGCCCACAATACGCATCTGGAAACTCCTCTACCTGGCAGCAGGTGCCCCACGTGAGGAAGAGCTCCAGCTGAAATAGGCAGGCTGGCCCAGTGCTTGGGACATCAACATGCCCTCAGGCTCAGGCAGATTGATGACTATGGACCTGCCAGTGAACAAAGAGCTACCCGTGAGAGCTGGCCCCATACTCACCCTCAGTATCCTTAACTATAAAATGGGAACAGTAAGGGATGTGAATCCATGGCCACTGGCTCTAAACCCGGGTTTTCACTAGACTACACAAGCTGACCCTGTCCTTGTGGGTCACCCACTCTACACCACGCTGACCAGGAGCAGCCTCAGGCACACCACAGAACAGTGAGGGCCACTGTTGCCAGTCCAGACTTCACCTATTGGTGAAATCTATTGGCCAGAATATTTTTAAGTCCAGAGCACCTACCTCCAAAAATTGCCACATGACATTGATTTGAAGTGGAAATGTATGTGGATTCAAATACATTTGGCCTGGAAACTTGGATGGTAGCCCTGAGTAGAACAGCTCACAGCTCCCTGTGTTCTGGCCTCTGGGGTGGTACTGCTGGTGTGTGTTGGAGGGTGGATTCCTGGGCAGTGGCCCCTGGTGTGAAGGGGTAATTCTGTGTGGGTGGACAGAGGTCAGTGCCTTCCTAGAGAACCTGCAGCCATCCCCTGGAGCTGACATCGAGAGCCTGGGCTGTGGCTCAGGCACTGTGCTTGTGGCAGGGATGATGGAAAAAGAAATTCAGGAGCTCAGACGGCACTTCAGGGCCTTAATGCACACCACAAAACACTATTCTGTGTGCTGGCTGCTGCATTCTCTAGAAGCATATTGCACATCCTTCTGCAGGTGCCAGCTCTTCGCCTAGTTTTCTGTCCCCCATCCCGTCTTCTGGGCACTGGGCTTTCCCACACTGGTGTCCAAGCAGACATGGGGTTCAACACACACCAACCCAACCCAAGGCAAGCCGCAGCACGGAGGGAGGTGGCCTCGGAGGGAGGGGCAGGTCCTGTGTCCCCGGTTGCGTGCCAGTTGCTGAGTGCTTGTCTTCTCTCCTACAGGAATGGTTTTCCGAAGCAGACAGCAGCTCAGCTGATTCTGAAGGCCATCTCTAGTTACTTTGTGTCCACAATGTCCTCTTCCATCAAAACGGTGTACTTCGTGCTTTTCGACAGCGAGAGTATAGGGATCTATGTGCAGGAAATGGCCAAGCTGGACGCCAACTAGGCTGAGCAACGACAGAACCAGCTGCACCATGTACCCCACCTCCAATTTAAACGAAAAACAAATCCCCTTCACTCCCACTGGGAGGTGGGAGCCCTTTCATTTTCAGTTTTGCTCATCTAGGGAAAATAAGGCTTTGGTTTCCAGTTTAATTGTTTTTGACCTTCTAAAATGTTTTTATGTTAGCACTGATAGTTGGCATTACTGTTAAGCACTGTGTTCCAGACCGTGTCTGACTTAGTGTAACCTAGGAGATTTTCTAGTTTTATTTTAACGAAACCCTGATTGGCGCACAGCAGTGAGGAGAACAGCGTCTTTTACCTGTCGCCGAACCCAGGAAGCCCCATTTGTAACCGTGTGTTGTGGTGCTTTCTCGTACACCCAGTGGCGTTCTTTTTACTCTAATGTTCTTTATTTTTTTTTTTTCCTCAGAAGAATCATGAATTTGCAACAAACCTAATTTTTGGTTACTTTTTGTCTTAATGATGGATTTGAAAATGAAAGATTTAAAAGGAAAAGCAGAATCTGTTGTCCTTAATTATATTTGCAATTTGGAATTTGTGTGAGTTGATTTAGTAAAATGTTAAACTGTTGTTGTGACTGGTGTGTTTCAGTTACTGTGCCCATGAGTCGTGGGTCCGAAGTTGGCCTCTGCAGTCACAGGATGTGGGGGCAGGGTGGTCCATAACCCTCAACCCCCACCCCGCCCCCACAACTCCTTGGATGCTCCACGGTTTCAGTGCAGCCTGGGCTGGTGTGGGCCATCTGCTGGCCCCAGTGGTTTGCAGAAAGAATTCTTATAAATTCTTTCCTTTTGGTTGTGTGTGACCCTTGGGCTGGGGTGTTATCCTCATTCCGCAGATGAAGGAGGGAGTGTATCAAAAGCCGTGTGGGTGGCATGTGGCTGGCTGGCGCAGAGCCAGGGCTCCAGACCCTGAGCCCAGCTCTCTGCTACCATTGTCCCCTTCTGACAGTCTCTGGCTCAGGGCTGGGCCTAGCCACTTGCTAATGGAGCTGTTGGAGCCTCATGCCCTCTGCCGGGGCTGCTGGGTCTGTCATCCCTGTAGGACAGGATCCATGTAGGACAGGATCCCTGGCAGAAGGGTGCCAGGAGCTTTTCAAGGACAAGCTGCCATGGCCAAGGCTCCTGGGATTTGCTAGCTGCTGTCACATGACTTCTCACCCCCCAGGCTATTGAGGGATGTTGATTATATAGGAAGACCTCAAACAAGCCAGAGTAGCTAAAATATGTTAGCAAAACATGTACACTTTTTGCTCCAAAGGGCACTTACATCTTAACCTAAATTTGCCTAAAATACACAGAAGACTCTTTCCATCTCTTGAAAAAGAAAGAAAGAAAAGAAAGAAACATGCCTGCTTCTAAAGCAGATTTTAAACAGGAAGAAATATGCAGTACACTTCAGATCATGGAAGAATGTCAAGGATCACTTTTCCTTCCCAAACTGTACCTAATACAAACTCTTCAAAACAGAAGGTCCTAGACCATCACACAACCAATCTTTTCCATGAAAAGGCAACGACTTCCAACTCAAACCTGAAAGATGATTTTTTCCAAATTTCATCTGAACATAAGGGGCTATGTTACATTTATTTTCCAAGATCTTTGCTGGGTCTAGATTATGTATTCCTACTTCTTGATTAGCATTTGAAACAAGAGTGAGCAGTGGGGAGGGGGAAACTTTGCATTTTTTTAAGAAGATGCATCTTAAAATGATTCCACTTCATATTTAATAACAGTAAACTGCTTAGGCAAACCATACCATGCGGCCCTCCACCCGAGGGCATTATTTCTGCAGGTAGGATCTGCAGTGTGGTTGGAGGGTAATGGAAAATTGTGGCTACTGTTAGCTTATCAGACTGATACTTACTCTATGTCAGGTACTGTGCTGAGTCCTTCATGGGCATCATTTTATTTGGTCATTGCAATAACCCTATAGGGCAGTTCCTATTATTAGATAAATTTTATAGCTGGGAGGAGATCACGCTGCTGAAAAGGGACAACCAGATTCAAATGCAGAGTTTCTGACTACTGTGATGTAGGGTTCCTGGTGGCACGCTCTTATCAGCAGTCAGAGAGTCCATTCGACCTTCGTGGTATTTCTAACTCAGACACTGAAACATGGAGGGACTTTTACATGCACACAGGGTTTAAATGACTTCTTGATTAATTGGATGGGCTTAACTTCAGAGGAACACCATAGAAGCCAATGTGTTTTTCAAAGATCCTCCACTAGATGTCACTAAAAGGATTGAGAACTAGAGAAAAGGCTCAGCTCTCCTTGTGATTGCACAAAAGAAACTGCATGTATCCATGTTTGCATGAGTGATTTACCATGATCACCTAAATGTTTCTAAACTTTGAATAATCCAAAGTGCATCATGCCCTGTGATGTGTGTACACTGAAGAAATTCTTTTCAATGAAACTGAGGGGAAGTGAGCCAATAAGCTGCCTGGGGTTTCCACCATTTCTAAGCCACTCAGTTCATTTTCAAAACTGGGATCAAAAACTGTTCTCTGATGTCAGCCTCATGCTTTAAGGGGGGAAAAAAGCTCATTACTTTTAAAAAAAATTGGTACAACTGCAAGGAACGTCTTGAATTGCACACATGCCTCTATTCAAATGACAAGTTTGCAGTTAGTAAACTTGCCAGAAATGAAAGTATTTTGTGAGGGGGTAAAATGCTGCAGGTTCTAGAGAGGTTAAGTGTTACAGCCCAGCCCTTCCCTTCACTGTAAGCCTTCAGAGGCAGGCATGCAGTGGGTGCCACTGACAGAGCTGCCCCATCCACTGTTGCTGTGCTGAGACCCCGCCAGCCTACCCCAAACTCAGAGCCCTGCCATCCTGTGATCCAGCGGCAGTATTAGGCAGACAACGCCGGCTCCCATTCATTTCTCAAGAACAATTCATGCCCTTAACAGCTGGGCCCTGCCTGAATAATCCAGATGATTTTCTCAGTGCTCCTCCATAGGCCCCTTTAAATAACACCTGAGATCTAACGCAATGCTGTGGCTCCAACTGGGACTACACTGACAACAACCACTGAGTGTGTGTCCTCTACACACATCATTGACTTCTCATGGCAACCCTATGAGGTAAGTAATACTGTCCGTTTTACAGATGAGGAAACTATGACTATGACACAGAGAGGTGAAGTCTATTCCCCAAGGTCACACAGCCATGAACGGTAGAGGTGGGCTTTGAATCCAGCTCTGACTCTACAACCAACTCCCTGGAGCTGAAGTCGCCTTTCCTATCCATCCCAATATTTTGTTCTTCAGGTTATGCAGGGCTTCTTGCGTACTTATTGAGAGGTTTTGTGTGCCTGGCCCTGGGAACATAAACAGAACTTGTTGGATGACAGATGAATGTGCATTTAAAGCAATCCAATGGTCAACAAAGACTTACTGAATGCTTTCTATGAAAGAGGCCTCAGATTAAGGATTTCTTACAAAGGTGGGTAAGCAAGCATTGTTCAGCAAGCACTAACCCAGAGAAGTACCTGCTAAAAAGGCAGGGGCCCAGAGCAGAGAGCTTTGCTCACTGGCTAAGCAGGCTCAAGAAGGGCTTCTTGGAGCAGTAATCCTAGTTCTGGATTTGGTAGGAAAGGTTGGGATCTCCCAGACCAGGAGAGCAAGGCGATGGGTAACAGAAGGCAGGCTGGCATAGGGGCTGTTCCCTCAGCCCCAGGTGGGGAGCTCCTGCACCCTCTGTGGAGAATCTCAGTCTGCACCCTCTTCCCACCTAGGACAGTCACTTCAGCCCTGGCCTCTGCTTGCTACACGCCATCTCCGGCATGTGGAGTTGTCCACCCACGAATTTGTCTGTGGCAGAATTCCTACTCCCATTCAGGGTCAGGGGGCTGTGTTTGGTCACAGCTGCGGTCAGTCCTGACAGAGGACCTGGCCTACACCAAGGCAAAAACAGAAAAAAGGAGAAGAGGTGGGCGGCAACGTCCCTTTCTCACCCAACGTCCTGCCCTTCCCAGTCCCAAGTGGTCAGCCTTTCTCAGGAGGTAGAAGCCCCCACTGGGCCTGTCTACTCTGGGCCTGTCTGCTTGGGTCAGGCAAGCCTCTCGTTTCTTTATTTGTCACTCAGGCTGCCTTGTCCATCGCCCTGAATGGTCCTGGAATGATGGCTTGGTCAATTTATTCATTAGCAACTAGATGTTTAATTTTTGCTGGCGGGCACCCCTAACCGATGTTATCTTGGGAGCTGGCCTTGGTGCCGCCTTCCAGTGATCCACCTGAAGGCACCGGGGTGAGGAGGGGCCTGGGGCCCACTCCCAGCTGAGAAGAAAGGGGAACGCTCAATGGCAGGGGATGAGGCCGCCTTTTCTTCGCCTTTTCTTCCATTTATAACCTGGCCTGTTGTGTTTGCTTCTGGGGGCCCCCCATATCAAAACACCACCACATGAGCCTCCTGACAGGCAGGCAGTAACACTGCTCATTAATCCCTGGCCCCTGCTCTGCCCTCCATGCACCTCTGCAAGGTGTGTAAATAGAGTGGCCTTTCCCTGACCCTGGAAACCAACCCAGCCTGGGCTACCTTGTCAAACTCAGAGAAGAGAGTCTTAGAAACACTCTCTGTAGGAAGCACTTCTTCATCACTCCCCTTCTCCACGCTAAGCAACTCCCACCCTCCCACACTCACCCATTCCCAGCGCATGCACACACACACACACACACGCACACACACATACATTCACGTGCACATAGTGAAGCCCCAGAGCCCTCTGTATTGGCCGAGTATAGAAATGAGGAATACACCGACAAATACCCTTTGAACTTGGGCAGAGAGCAGCCAGGATTCTGTCTCCCACAAAACATAGCTGACAGTTCTCCTCGAGAGACCTTCCTTGGCCTATTTTGCCCTGTGAAGTGACCAGAACTGTCTGCAGACCTTCCACTAACAACTCCCTTGGCTCACTTAGAACAGGGCGCCTGGGACTTCCTGGGGTCTGATGGGGGACCCAGCATCCACAGCAGAGGACAGCAGCCATGCACCACCGCGGCCTGCGCTCACTTGGTGTCTGCATGAATGTGCCCTAGAGCACCCCTAGCAGGTCATGTGCTCCCTGGCAAAGAGACCCTGTGATGGCCCTGCTGGGCAGAAGAAGAAAACGGTCCCAATGTCATGTGTTAAAGGTCACCTTGGCTTGAGGTCTGTAATTGCTCCTTTAGTTTAAAAAGCTCAAAATCCCAGAAAGACACCCTCCAAATCTTACGTTCAAAGCCCTGAAACCAGAGCAGTGATCACTGAGTGATGATCACTAGCATGGCCCCAGAACACAAGCAGGCAGGTCAGATCAGCCTTGCTGGGGAGTCTCTTCCTGTCCTGAGCCCTGGGACAGGTACCCTGGATCCTGACATCAGGTGTCACACCATCCCCCATTCCCATACACGCCCTTGCCATCCACGAACCTGGACTGCTGGATGAGAGCCAACTGCGATGGCACGTTCCCTGCTGACCACCACTGCTTACCCGGGTCGGGCCCCAGGCACGACCCTCTTGGCTCATCTGCCTGTGCACTCCCTGGCCAGACTGGCTGGGAAACCTGATATTTCTGTACC